GAGCTGCCGCTGCCCCGGTGGTGACCAGGGGACAGAGAAGGATGCGGCCTGCCCGCCCCCGGCGGGGGTCCCAGCTCCGCCCTCCCTGGCGGGGCCTGCGCTCTCCTCCGCCTCCCCCACCGCGGCCTCCCATTTCCAGGATTCCCGGCAGTGGCTTTTCCAGTGTTGTGACGTTTTCTCCCTGTTTTTCAGGTCTAGCCACGAGTTTACATATTCCAGTCCACATTTTTACATCTGAGACGGGTTTTTTTAAGTTCGTAATTATGAAAGAAATATGTATATTGAGCTTGGGGAATTTAAAAAAAAGGCCTTTTCTTAAATTATTATTATTGGTAACACAACCTCTTCCTTAAACACCAACGTAGCATGAAAAATGTATGGTCGCAATGTAGTCTTCATTCCATATTAAAATACAGTTTCAGAGAAGAATCGTTAAACAGACTAGAAGATGTCAAAAACGATCCTGTGTAGCTTGGGTTCAGGACTGACTTAAAGTAAATGCGTCCTGCGAAGTCTCTTTCCGAATACCCCTCATTCTGCCTTACTGCGTGGAATGGGAGAAGCAACTGTTGTCTGTAGTGTGCAGAAGGAGCTGAAAAATCAGCCGAGAGGAGAAGGACTTTCCTGTTGGCTTTATCGTCTGTTTGCTCCGGTGGGCGTTCTGGATGAGAAATGCAATCAGCAAACAACGGTAACATTAACTTCCAGGAAGGAAACGGACAGTGAATATGCAGCTTTAAAAAGATACCAGAGTTCAAGTGATGTCCAGAACCTTCCAGAGAATGAGCACCCGTTCTTCGACTGTGAAAGCTGCCTGCTTCCACCCTGCTTCCAGCAACACTCCAGTCATCGAGCAATAAACTCAGACCACTCAGGGAGCTCCTCAGCCCACGTGCAGGTTCCCGACAGCGGACGCGTCTTCCTGCACGGTTCTGGTGGTGACCCTTCTCTGAAACACGTCCGCAGGGGATCTCCGGAGAGCGCATCACGGCACCTTCAGGAAGGAGGGGCGCGGGCATCGCTCCTGAGAAACACATGTGGAGGTAAAGGGGCCCAGGATGGAGCACCAGTTCCGCAGCTCTAGAAAGAGCTTCTGGCGTGGAGGTGGGAAAACACAGACAGATGGAGAAGGAGTGCTCCTAATGAGGCGTGGGCTGGAGGGGGACTCGCCTGGAGAAGGAGGCAGCCTGGCTGGGCCCCCGGGCCAGCCGGTCGTGTCTTGTTCAGCCCAGTTTTCCGAAAACAGGAAGGAAACATCAAGCTGTAACCGGCCGCATCCTCAGCCCCACGTGAGCAGCGGCCCCAGCTCAGATACTGATGGACACACGTCCCCTTACGAAAGCGCCTGCCACCTTAGAATGGTCCTCTGCAGGTGTCTCTGAGAGGGACAGTCCCCAAGGATGTGTGCAGAGTGGTCTGGCTGGTGAGGAGGGAGGACTGGGCAGAGGGACAGGCTGCCTGCCCCTGGGCTGCAGCGGCGTGTCCCCCGGGCCTGGAGGTCCCGGTGAGCTGGGGCCGCCCTTCCTGGTCCTGAGAGATCTCGGCATCTGGATGCTTTATTCGTGGTTGCCAAGACTTGGAAGGAACCAAGATGCCCTCTGGTAGGTGAATGGACAAATAAACTGTGTTAGAGTCCAGACAATGGGATATCATTGCTCAGCAGTGGAAAGAAACGAGCTACAAGTCATGCATGACAAAGACACGGAGGAGACGTAAATGCCTGTTACTCGGTGAAAGAAGCCGATCTGAAAAGGCTCCGGACTGAATGACACTTGGGAAAAGACAGGAAGGTCAGCGGCTGTCGGGCTGGGGGACGCCGCGCTGACGGACACATGCCGCATGACACGCTGTCCAAGCCCACAGGGTGTGCAGCACCACGCGTGGACTAACGTAGGCTGCGGACTTGGGGTGACAACGGGTGTCACTGTGACGACCGCCCCATCTGGTGGGGGACGAGGGGGACGGGGGAGGCTGTGCACGCGGGGGGCCAGGGGCGCATGGGAACCTCTGTACCTTCCTCCCAATTTTGCTGTGAACCTAACTGCTCTTAAAAAAATTGTTTCAATAAAAAAAGCTGCCTGTAGTATTGATACAAGTGCAGTGGAGGGAGTGGTATGAAAGTGGAGAGAGACCAGAAAGTTAGGGAGTCTGCCCCTCCCCAGGGGAAGAGCCGCCCCGAGCTTCTTCCTTAAACCCCTTGGCTGAGCCCCTCGCCCCAGTTAGCCCAGGGGTGTCTGTCCGGCCGGGGAGGGAGCCAGGCTGGAGACCCCCCCATCCCTGAGGGCACATTCCTGGGATGTCCTCAGGGGACCTCCACTGGCCAGTCCAGATTTTGTCCCCAGACGGCTCTGAAATGGCTCAGAAACCCCACTGATTAGTTAATTTCTCTACCACCCCACACCTAAGACCGAACGTTGCGTCCTTGTTCAATTTCCCGTCACAGACTATGGTCAAGTCACTTTGTCCAGCGTCACCTCCGTGAGGCTCTGCAGAGAAATAATATGACGACCTGAGATACTTCAGAATGAAACCTTAACGGGAAATGTTCCAAATTTAAACATTAACCTCCTTTCATAATTTTTCAGGGAGGAACGAAAGGTAAGATATTAAATCAAGTTAACACCCAAGAGTCAAAGAGCACGGATTGAGTTCTCTTACGTTCGTGAGTTAGCAGTAAAAAGGGTGGAGCCTGGCCCTTCCCGGCTCTGCGCCTCGAGGGGCTGAGGCCGCTTCAGGGAAGCAGCTCGTCTCGTCTTCACAACGAGGTCCTTTCGGTCCTTCAGATGTTAATTCCATTCAACGCCAAGTTTCTGATTGCGCCTCCTATTTTAAAGAGTCCAAAAATCAGTGAGACCCACAGAACCTGCCCATACTGACCAAGTTTCAGAAGCATCTGAGTCAAGCCCCTCCCTCCCGGCTGTCCAAGGCTGAAGCGTGTCTCAGCAGCACGAAAACCCAGAGCAGAAGCTCGCTGGTGCTCGAGTGAAGACCGCTGGAGACGTCGCGGGCATCGGAGACTGGCTGGGAAGCCTCCTGCTTGGCGCCAGGTAAGCAGAGTCCGGGACCAGGACCGTGACCCTCACTGAGCAGAGAGCGGCCCCCCCTGTGCACGGTTACCCCTGGCGGCTGCACCTGCCTTACTGGGGAGAAACCCCGTGGCCTCCCGCCCCGCCCCACCAGAGGCAGGGCTGGTGGGAGCTGGGGCTGCCCCTGTGGAGGGTCGAGGCCTGCAAGGCTGGCATGGAGGCTGTCCGCTCCCAGCTGGTGCATCAGGAGCTCCTCCATCCCCATCCGCGCGTTCCTGTGGCCCGGATGTGCCACGTGCTTTCCACTACCGCAGAATTATTCCCACATCCAAAATCAGCCACCTGTGGAAAGGCTTTTCCTCATGTGCAGTTAATTCTCCAGGCTGTGGGGAGGGGGCTGACCCCTGAGCCTCCAGCACCCCTGCTCTGCTCACCTGGCTGGGGACTCGAGCCACATCCCACCCAGAGGCCCCCTCCTCCCTATCCCCTCCCTTCTGGGCCCCCAGCCTCCCTGCCCTCCCAGACGGTCGGGTTTCCTGGGTGGAGGGGCCTCTGCCCTGCCAGGTGAGCCCGTCCGTAGCCTCGTTCCCGGGCACAAATGCAGGCCTGGGCTTGGAGGCCACAGCCAAGGTGTCACCAGCCTGCCTGTGTGTCACTGGTGCTCAGGGATGCCCACGAGTGCACCCCCACAGCGCCGAGGCAGTCTTCACGGTAAGGGGAGCGGGGAGGTTTAGGGGCGTTTCTAATTGATTGCGGGAGATTTCCCCAAAGTCCTTTTCCCCGGTGTTTATGCCCACACAGCGCATTTCTAATGCTCATCCCTTCAGGTCATGCAGGTCGGGGACGCCAGCCAGAGGGGAGGGGACGGGACAGCGGGCGGACACAGCTGCCCAGGCCTCGCTGGTCCCACAGCTGCTGGCTGAGCCCCTGCCCCGGCCAGCTCTGCCCGGCCCGCCACCTCCTGCCCTGACTGCGGTGCCCAGAATCTTCATGGAAGGAACCGAGATGCAGCATCCCAGAAAGAGACGCAGAAGGACGGAGGAAATTGTGGGCGGCACTTAAGTAGCTCTGGGCCCCGGCTTCCCGGGGAGGGAGGGGCGGGGAGGCGGCCGCTGGGCCCTGTGAGCAGAGCCGGCGGGGGTGCTGGGGCGGCTCCTCGAGGGACTCTTGGCCACTCTCCTGCCCAGGTGCTGCCCGTAAGGAGCCAGGTTGGACGAGGTGGTCCCTGCACTCCCGTGCCCGGGGCTGGGCGCCTCCTACACCCTCTCCTCACCCCCACCCCGGCCCCCAGTTTCTTCCCTTCCCACTCGTCCCAGCCCCTGCTGTGTGTGGCCACCGCCCTCCCCGGGGTCCAGGTCCTGTTGCTGCCTGGAGGGTGGGAGTGGGGCTGGGGAGAGGCTGAGGAGGGTGCCCCGCTTACTGAGGAGGGAGCAAGAGCAGGCGGAAAAGAAGGCCGCTGGGACCTGAGGGGGGGTCTGTCTGGCCCTAAAGGGGGACTGTCCCCCTGGCCTGGCTCCTGCGTCTCTTACACTGAAGTCTG